TAGGAAGCCATTCATGAGAAATTAGTGTTATTAAGAGAAAACTAGATGTTCTATGTGCTTCAAGCTTATTCAAGAACTGAAGAAATGCTCAAAAAGGAGGTTGGAAAGTACGGTTGGTCCCAGATAAGAACTGGCTTCAGGTGCACTTCAGGTGCGGAAGGCAAAAAGGAAATGTGCTATCTCTCCAACATCCAAGTGAAGATAAAGTTTTAAGGCAGTTACTCCCAGTGATTTCTTGGGCGTTGCTAACATAACTGCAGAGACCACGCTCTAATGATCACTCTCACTCTAGTCTGTGTGTCTCAAGGCTACTGTTTTTTATCTCTCCCATCTGTCATTAAAGCAGTTGGATTTGGAAACCTCCTATCTGCTCCTTGATCAAATGACTGATAGATTCAGAAACTCTCTCTTCCTCCTCCCACAAAAGGAAAAAAGACCACTGATGTGGTGAATTAATCCACAAAGCGTCTATTTATAGTAATAATACTTCTATGATTACATCACAAGGAGTTTCTGGTAGAGTCTTTAAATAAAAGGAGAGTGAATGTAGATATTTCAGGGGAGGTACATGCCCTAGAAAGTGGTTAAATGGAGTTTGGTTCAAGATCACTAAAATGTAGCAGTGCTATTTGGGACACATTGAATCTAAAACCATGAGATTCAGGAGCAATATTCTAGATGGAAATTGAAATAACACAAAGGATGTGAGGGGGAAGAAAGAGAAATTAATTTAATTCCATTTGCTGATGTGACTGTAGCACAACTATTTTTAGGTATAATCCAAACAGTGCATATCTTCTCCATTTTGATTAGTAGAAAACTGGCAGAGAGTCAAATGAATTAGTATTTCTCAGCACATTATGGCAGACATGTACAAATAAAACTACATTATCCGTGCCAATGTGTTTAAGTTACTGCTGAGGTTTTTATTTTTTCCCCTCAAAAGAATGAACGGGCTCAGCTTTGTTATAGACATATTAAAGAAAATGAGCCTTTTACAACTAGCAACAAAAGTTGCAGAATAATTTTCCTCTAGACCTTTCCTTAGAAGCTCTTACTTTAAAAACTTAGATGTTAATATTACACAGATACTTTGGGTGCAGAATTTCTCCCTGGAAATTTTACAGATTGTCAGAGAAAGCACATTCAACAAGTATGAAATTAAAATAAGCTAGGAAAATGTGCTTAACAAGGAAAGGTTTCACAATAGCCACATAGAAGTTATTAATTTCAGTTCCAAAGAAAGCACAGACCAAACAATAAACTCTATTGCAAAGTTTTATATTGACAAGTTCACCAAGAGACCAAGCTATTATGCTGTACCAGCTTCACATTTCTACATGGGAGGGAGAATTTATATATCCTGGAAAATTTTGACTGTTTCACATTAAAGGACTTTATAGTGCTCACCTAATTTCTGATGAATAGCAAGTCCATGAGTTTTGATTACATTTTATTCACTGCTTTGATTTTAAGTTTTACACCTCTGGTTCTTTGATACACACAAACCCCCAGGTATGGGTGACTCTGATGCTCACTGCCTTCCTCCTGCCATTTCTGTGTTGTACTATTTTGCCAGGCTACTAGGGACTGGCAATTTTCTCCTTCCACTGCCATAGTTTTTGACACTGGAGATTAGCTTCCACATTTCCTATTACAAATCAATGGCTATCTCCCTCAAAAAATAAGAGAGAATAGTTTTCATGGCTATTTGGAATCACTGACATGGTCTGTTCCTGAATCCTTGTAATCTCCAGGTGCAGAATAAAGGAGATCACACAAAAATCTTTTTCTATCTCCTGCCAATATATATATATATATATATATATACTGGTCCCAAGACTATAGTGATTTCCTCTAATTCACTAAAGAAACTAAACCTATCTACTAAGCAGTTAAATCATACACATTTGTTCTAAAGTTATAAGGATGTTCATGATTTTAAGAAAAGGAGATCACAAAAATCTTTTTCTATCTCCTGCCAATATATATATATATATATATATACTGGTCCCAAGACTATAGTGATTTCCTCTAATTCACTAAAGAAACTAAACCTATCTACTAAGCAGTTAAATCATACACATTTGTTCTAAAGTTATAAGGATGTTCATGATTTTAAGACCTGAAGTTTAATGGGCCTGTGTATGTTTGCAGATGGGAATATTTTTTATGTAAATGTGAATACTTATCTAAACAGAATAAATAAAATAATCAAAAAACAAGAAAGAGAAGAAATAACCTGGTAATCTAGTGTTCTTTCAGAAAAAGCTAAAGACATTGTCTATTTAAAATAAAGGGGGTAAAACTCACAACAAAATGCATGCTACACACATACTGGGGAACAAGGTTAGAAACAGGCTTTAGGTCAAGGAAGATTATTGTAACATTTCATCCTGAGACTGATTTTTTTACATTCTCCAAAATAAGTTTAAATATTGTCATCTTGCCCCGCCCCCGCCTTTTCCTCTTTTTGCTGAGAAAGGGGTTAAACTCAGGGGCAGCCTTTGTTGAGAGTGCTGCTGTTCCTGTCACCTCCTGCTGGACTCTACACCAGAGAGGACATTAACCTTTCTCAGAAGATTGGCCCCTGGGCTTCAGGATATGCCACTGTGAAAAGGCATGATCCGTCCCAACTCCTAGAAGAGAACTGTCTATTCCTGTTAAAGGGCAGCTTAAGCACAAACTTTATACTCTTCATTTGACATTTTTACTGTATGATTATAAGATGAAAAGCTTAAGACTACAAATATTACATAATCCTATTTTGGAAAATGTACAGTTAACCTCAGGCTGTAATTTCACTATACGTTCCTTAGAAACTAACTATGAAAACACTCTTCATTTTGTGTTGTAATTTTGTTAGGAAATGAAATGATTTCACATTTGCTTTTTTACCTTGACCTGCTCACCCAAAATTTCTGCTGAAATGAGCTACTGAATTACACAAGAGAAATATTTACTTCAGAGGCCCTTTGATAAATGTTTGCCTGGACACAGAAGTTTTTTTCCCCACTCTAAACAACCACTACAGAATGTGCACATATAGATCATCTGTAGGCTGTGGTTTTCAATTGGAAAACAAAAACAAGCTGTGGAAGCCACTTACCGAATTTCAGCTGAGTGACTGGCCAATGAGTTCTTCTTTCCTGTTTCTGAACAATGTGCAGCTGAGTTACCTGGCTCGGTGGCCTTTTTCCCCCAGTAGACACATCTCCCAAATGTCACTTCGTACTTCAAGTGCAGCAGATGGGATCTTGAAAAGCGCCTACAAGTAGTCTGGAATACCTTGAATCCGGCTGTGAAAATTTAGGGCAAATCTGCAGCTCTCAGTAGGTGAACACTGTATTTGGTCTAGAGGCATTTCGCGTTGTTACTGAGCCACAAAAAGCTATTAAAAGAACTCTATGAGAAATGCAGTCTAATAAAAAGAGAAACTGTCTTTTTTGTTTTCACTGCCACTTTACAGACACAAGGGTACATAATCTTGATTGTGCTTCATTGGTATTTATTGCACATGGACCAATTCCTCACACAGTGGTTGCACCAGAGTAAAAATACTTGGTAAAACACAAGAGGAAATAGAATTTACACACAAGTGCTAAGCTTTACCAGCAAATTCACATGGGCAATTGGACATAAAAAATAATTTAAAAATCCATAAGGTAATTATAATATGGATAGTTACAGTACCATGATAAGAGTATAAAAAGGTTATCTTCCCAATAAATCATTAGCTCAATAACATAATAGACGACAAAAGCTCAGTTTGAATTTTATTTTACTTTTTAAGATCCCCCCTCCTACCCCTTTAAAAATATTTAAATTCTTTTTGTGCAAGTAACATCTGTGGACTTTACAATTCCTAACACTGTGCAAAAATGGCATTTGGAACCACTCCTGTTTAGTGTGTTTTGCTTTTTGTTTATACGCACATGTGCAGTAATCTGATCTGTTTCCTTTTTTTTTTTTTTTTTTTTTTTCCTGTCCTGTCTTCAATTGACAGAGTCACATGTCACAGAGAGAGGCTCAGCGCCTGGTCCTTCCAACTAATATTGATACATAAATAAGCTGTTTAATATAAACAAGTCTTTCTGTCTTGCTGTGCAATATGCACAGGGTGAGGTAGAAAACCCTCAGCAGGACCACCGAGGCGCACAGGGGCAGGGGTTTGCCCTACGGAAGGAAAGCAAGGTGAAGCTTCTTCTAATAATAGCTTAAAAGTTTCTTGAAACTAGATTGTTTTGCACCCATCCTTTCCCTTTGCTTTAAGAACAGGAGAAATCATTATTCAGGAATTAAAATGCAACTTCTCTGGAAAGCAAAAAGAAACAAGTCCGGATAAATTGCCACCCCGCCCCGCCACCCCGTTTGACCCTCCCTTTCCCGGGAATGGGATGGAAGCCAAACTGATAAAGACTTTTATCTCCCTTTCCCCACCCACCCAGTTTCCACTCGGGTCCTCGCAGAAAGTATCAAAACCCACCTGAGGAAAAAATATTAAGATGCATCACACGCACACACACAAAAATAGGGGCCGAACCACAAACAGAAAAGAACCCAGGAAAAACCAGCAAGCCACTCTCCCAATGCCTCCTCAAACTTTCCTTTTTGTGCAACGGTCCGCAGCTTTCCTGTTTGTCTTGGATGATTCAGACGAGGTTCTTGGGCTTCGAGTTCACCTGCTTTCGGTCTGGAGTAAACAGAACTCTCCTCTTTCCCCTGGGAAGCCATTCAGAGGCGCCCCACGGGGCGCAGTCCGCATCCAGGCTGGGGCGCTGGGAACCAGGGGGCGCCCGGCACCCGCGCCCTGAGCGGGGTCCCCT